AATTCTTTAAGAATCATATACATATGCTAGGGATCAAGTATGTGTCTTTCTAGACTTCACACATGTCCCGAAGAACCGCGTAGAATTGCACCGTAGTGCCATATAATAATGTCCATAAGGACCACATAGAATTCTTTAAGAATCATATACATATGCTAGGGATCAAGTATGTGTCTTTCTAGACTTCACACATGTTCCAAAGAATATACATATGTCTCGAAGAACCGCGTATACCCTCGACTCTTGGCATGCCAACTATACCCCTAGCTCTCATGACACATAACATGGGCGTTATCATTTATTTCATTTCAAATATTCACATAACTTGTAATTCACTTTCACATATCACTTATCACATAGCTTCTTTCATATCACATAGTCACGTAGTTCACTTACATGTAGATCATTTCCATATAATTCACATGTCACATATCTCATGTTCTTGTATTCATATAACATATAATCACATAGATTACTTTCACATCACATAATTCATAGTTATGATTTCCTATAGATACCTAATTATAAAGCTAATTCACCTATACATTTTCATATAATTTCTATCATTTCTCACCCAACCACATTTATTCATGTACACATACTCATCATATCTTGTTTACATATGATCATATACTTCATATAACAGATAGGAACACTTTCACGTAGCTTATAATCATAGGTTTTGTCTCATAACATATACTTGTTTTCACATATATATTTCATATCAATTCTTATACCATCACATAATTCTTTAACATACATAACATATCATGTAACATTATAATAGAATATATATAAGTCATATCACTTAGAGCACATACACTTATAACATTGCTTATATTAATCTTATGCCTTCTTAGACATATATATATATTCACATGTTCAGGTAATCCACCATTTCATCACATAATTGTGTATTCATATAACTCATTTCATTTCATTTCATATCTATCTATATATATATATCCTCAAGATTATCCTAATATAAATCATATAGCACTCTTATGTTTCGTATTCATATTCATCTAGGGCAGACTTATAAACCTATCACTTCTATTATTCTCTATATATGATCTAATTTGTTTATTAATTCAATTTCATATAACTCCTATAATCTTCTCATATAACTTCATAATTTTCTATCATACAACCCATGTGTTATAGTTTATTTAAACATATGAATCTTTCCCATCTAGCTTATCTTATATGTTCTTACATTTATGTTCAAATCTCCTAGTTAGTGTACTATTCTCACTTCATCCTATAGATCAATATTATCCAGCTTATTCACTTATCATATAGTAATAATTATATTTTACTATGATCACATAGTTTATATCTCATATAATTCATAACCTTCTTATGTAATTACTTATACTTTATCATCTAACACATAAAAGAACAGATTAATCCATATAATCAAGCATACATACATGCATATTCCATTCATGCCTTTAATCATGAATTCATGTGTAACACTTTAGGAAATAGACTCATCGCAAGTCTTATTCCCATCGCACATCGTATACTATTGAATATGCACTCACCTGGCCTCACTAGTCAATTCCAATCTCTTATCTTTCCCTTGATCGATCTTACTTGCCAAACGTTCCGGAATTCTTTATGCGTAGAATCTACATAAATGTACATTCGAGGTAATCATTAGATACCTACACCTTTAATTAGATACTAGCAACTTAAACGAACTTATTAAACCTACATTCTGGAAATTTTGTCGTTTGAAGGGGTATCGGTTCCCCTTGAATGGGTACCGATTCCCCTTGCCCAGAAATCATATTTTCAACCCGAAAATTACTTCATTTCCACTTAAACACTTCATATATCATCCCTTTTCATTCTTACTCTAGTACACATACTTAAACCAATCTATATTCATTTATTTCATCTTAAACCTCAAAATCCTATCTTCCATATGAGATTCAAAATCATACCAAATTTTCAATGTGTTCTAATTCCAATTAACACTTCATAATTCTTAATTTAACCCTTGACAAGTCAAATTCAACTTCATAATCTATTATCCTTCCATATCAAAAATTCACTTAAAAACTCATTTTTCTTAATTTCTCATAACTTGTTAATCTTTGAGGTTTAAGCCACCTAAAGCTTTCCTTAATCTTTCTTAATATCCCAAGAATCAAAACAAGCTTTAAAACGAAAGAATTAACCAACTAAAGACCCACTTACCTTGTACCAGGCTTCACGGTTGAGAGGAGGAAGAAGAAGACTGAAGAATGCTCTGGACTTTTCTTCCTACGTGCTTATTACCCTTTATAAAGGGAAATAAAAATCTTCCCTGAAAATTACCATAGTACCCTTAATATTTCCAAACTTAATCATTAAATCCAACATCAACTTTCTTCAATTAAATCCATGAACTTTTAACTTATTTCGAAATCGAGCACCTAGTTTACAAAATTTGCAATTTAGTCACTGACCCTGATTTGGGATGTTACACTATCTACTATGAATATTACATGGATACACATATTTTAGAGCTTAAATATATTGGACAAAGTGAACAAATATTTTGACAAATTTAATTAATCATGCTAGATGATAAAGGTTTCAATTTTAGTGGCAAAAATATAAACATGAGAAAAGCAATGAACAAAATAACTATCACACATTGATGGTGCTTAAATGAAAATAAAATCATAAATAACATAAGGATAGAAATAAAAGATAGCAAAATAAGGCACTCAATATGATAAAAATATGAAACATGATATATATATATATATATATATGGGACTAAAATATAATAAACAGAAAATAAAGAGCAATAATCAAAGGACTAAATTTAAAATTCTAAAAAATAAAGGACAAAAATTAAAAATAGAAAATTAAAGTAATGAAATTAGAGGACTGAAATTAAATCAATAAAAACTAAACGGTAGAAAATTAAATGTGCATAAAATTAAATAACAGAAATAAAAGAGCAATAAAAATAAAATGTTAGTGTTAATTTTTAATATTTATCCTGGACTGTAAATAATGTTAGTCGTAGCTGGGGCGGGTCATCGCAACGTCGTACTATGGTTCGAATATAAAATAAATAAATAAATAAATTAGCAGTTAGTGATTAGTGGTCAGATGTTAATAGAGTCTGTACCATAATAATGTGGATTGTACCTCGGATCGTGTCACCACAAGGTCGAATCGAATAATAACAATAAATAAATACATATACAATGGTTAAAATGCAAGAAAGAAAATAAATCAAGGGTTAATTCGAAATAAATAAAAGCATAATTAAATGATTAAATTAAAATGAACAAAACAAAGGGTCACAATCATAACAAGTAAAACAAATAATAATAATGACTAATATGTAAAAGCATGCATAACTTATGGGGATTATTTCGTGATTTTCTTTTAAATTAAATAACTAGAATGCAAAGAGACTCTAAACAACTGAGAACCTAAAAATAATTTAACCCTAAAAGATTTACTAAAATGCAAATAGGCTCCTAAAGTATGGGGACCTAAGCGCGATTAACCCTTTATTTTGGTGACAAAATAATGAAGTACGTTGAAAATAAGGGACATTGTACCTAATTTACACAAAATTTCAAAAACAAAACCCCCAATATTACTCTTCCATAACACGTAAATAACAAAAAAAATCTGCCCCCTCTTGCTTTCATTTTCTCTTCATCCCACGCCCCTAAACACCGACGCCGATCGTTGAAATAGTGACCCCACCGCTGCGAAGATGAAGCCCGAAGCCGCACTCTCCTCTCCTCCTTTCTTTATGCTCGACTGGAACCTAAAAAAGCCCATTTTAGCATTGATCGACCGAACCCTCTCTCAAAACACGTCGAAAATCGGTCACACACGTTCCGACCACCATCATCGGTGATCGATTTTCCTAAAAACAAATCTGAGACCACTCTAAAACCCCAAAAGCGAAGGTTTAAAGTCTCAATTTGGTATTGAATCTCCAAAACCTGAGGCCTAAATGCTCAAGCCTACCCCCGACGCCTCGGATCTCGACGATGGTGAACTGCTCATCCTCTCCCTCTTTTCTACTATTTGTTTCCAATACAATCATGCTCAAAAATGAAAGAAAAAAACAAGAATTGAAGAAATAAAAATCATAGCTCGAACGAACCTCTTTTTTTGTTGCATATATTTAAAAAATATGTGAGGGAAGAACCCTTTTACAATATGTTTTTGGAGTCTTTATAACCCGTTCTAAATTACATTTGTTGTTTTGTTTTTGTTGTTGCGTGTGATTTGCTGATGGGGTCGTTGACTGTGCTGTTGTGGAGTTGGTAGTTGCATCGAGATGGCTTGGGCTGCTGTGGAGCAGAGATTTGGTGCAGCTGTAACCGGGGTAGATGGCAGGGTATGGGTTTTTTGCATTTTAAATTATTTTTTTTGGGGATAAAATTGGTGATTACAACATGCATCATGGGTTTTGGTCCCTTCCCTATTAGTTAATGCTTAATAGGTGAAGGTCCATGAGTTTTTGAGGTTAGGCAACCTACCCCTCCCCGTAATTGATCTCGAATCCGTCCCTCTGCACCACCAAAATCTGCCCAACATATCAGCAGCAGCTTCTTATGTTTCATCTACTGGACAATGTTATGCAAGGATGAGGGATGGTAATCGCCAATGAATCCGACAAATCATTGCCAGGAATCAAATGAAAGAAATACAAGATTAAAATACAAAAATTAACAGTCATTTTTGATCATAACACAATAGGTACAAAGGACAATCAGATAAAACAAGGACAATAAGAAAGTAATAATAATAACCTTAAAAGCTGAACAAGGGCTTTTCAAAAGACTGCAATGCAAAACCAACAGTCACAAGACATACACATGAAAACAATACAGATGTTATTATTGCTAAGCAAACAGATACCGACAGAAAATGAACAATCCATGCATCGACCACCACATATATCACCAATTCAAAGGGTAATTCATCTATGGTTTCATTTTGCATTAAAAAAGAACCAAATAAAATGGATCTATAGCAAATGAAAGAAACATTAGAACAAAGCAAGCGTAATACAGCATCCGAAGGAGTCGTACAGTAATAGTATTTAGATTACATGTTATCCCAAAGGCTTCAAATAAATCGCATAGATATGAGTTTTACTCAAAGGCACAACAATTAACAAACGATTCTTATTTATATTAAAGATTTCAACATATATAATCTGATCAAGGGGTTTCTTTAAAGTTAACGGTGGGGATATTTACATACCCAATCTTCTTAGGGCTAAGTTCTCCATCGCTCTCATCTTCCTCCAAAAAAGCTTGATGATAATCAGACCGGGCCGAGAAGAGTGACCATACCAAGTAAAGGGTGGCCCCCGTGAGAGCGCCGCAGCCGACACCGAAGAGAAGGGAGACGACCACACTGAGGATGTCCCTACTGCGCTCGCGGAGCGAGGTAAAGACACCGGACGGCTTGGGATCGGATGTTTTGAGACTCAATTGGCTAATCTCGGTTACGACGGTGATGAATCCGTTGGAAGCAGAGGAGGAGAAAGGATCGTTAGGGTTTTCAAAGGAGAAAGAATAGGAGGAGACGAAGAAGGTCTTGCAGGGTCTTGCGGTGGCTGAGAATGACAGGAAGCCGACCACCAGAATTGCCACCGCAACCGCGATTTGACTCAACTTTCCCATTCTTCCTTCACTGCAATTTCTTCGGATTTCGAATCTGCGAATCTTACAATTCCGCTTCTAATTTTCTCAACCCCTCCCCAACAAGTTTATTTATAGACTTTTTGGATAATTGCTTATTTATCCCTATACTATCTCAAATATACAAGAAATGCATGTGTATTTTTTGAAGTTACAATTGTATTTACAGGCAAATTTTTTAACAATCTGTATCCGATTTATTAATCGACTAATCTGACCCGATCCAACCCGATCTGACTCGATGGGTTCATAATTTTTATAAGAAAATTAGGTTCAGGTTTGGGTCGGATTTAGGGTGAAAAATAATTGACTCAAAAAATATAAATTTACCTTATATTTAGGGATAATTACAATAATACCCCTCTATATTTTTTCAATTAAATTCTTATTTTTATTGAATAAAAATATATTTTTAATAAATATATTATTTCGGGTTGAGTTAGGTTGGATTCGGATTTTATCTATAAAAAATTGGGTCGGGTTCGGGTCAAGTGGAGGTGTATGTTTTCAGGTCAAATCAAGTCGCGTTGGGTGGAAGATATATAATTTTCGGGTCGGGTTGATCAAAAACTCGACCTATGCTCATCTTTACACTAGACCTTACTTAAGGGTATTCACAACAAATTTTAAAAATACGGTTACAATCACAAATAATACATGTGTATGATTATAATAAAAAATTAATAGTATAAATACATTTTATAATTATACTTAATTATAAAATATAAAATATAAAATACATTAATAATTGATAATTACTTGATTAATCGAATCAATTTTTTTTGTTAATCAGTTAACGAATTTAGGTTCAATTCGCTATCGGTTAATTCGGTTTGAAATCGGTTAATTAACAAAATTAACTGAAATATTAAATATATTATTTATATATTACTTAGCCTTATGGGTGTTTAAACTTCAGTTTTTAACTAAATTAACCAAACTTTGTTCGATTCAATAAAAAATTTTGAAAAAAATTTGTTTCGATTAACGGTTAAAGAGAAAAAAATTGTTTAATGAATTTTGGGTAGTTTGGTCGGCCCGGTTAGTCTAACTGACCGATTGAATATCTCTAGAGCATATGGTTAAAAACTCTCAGTTGACATCTCTCATCTTCCCTATGTTGTGGGTTTAATACCCATTATGAGCAAAATTTCATTACCAAAAAAGTGTTCAATATATAAATATTTGATAAAAGCCAATATTGAACTTGTAACACCCCAAATATCGGGTCAGTGACCAAAATGTAAGAATTCAAAGCTTAGTTGTTTAATTGAAATAACTTGAAAAGTTCAAGGATTTATTTTAAAATTTTGTTTAGGACTTTATAGCAAAGTTGGAATATTGGAAGGGCATTATGGTCTTTTCAAAGGAATATTTTTATCTTCCTTTTTAAGGGATATAAAACACGTGGATTAAAGGGAGAATGGAAAAAGAAAAGTCTAAACCTTGTTGTTGTGAGTTCCATTTTAAAGGTGATTTGATTTCAAGTTGTCGTTCCTTAAATTTTAAGTCGGTTATTGTTCTTTGGGTGATATATAAGCTTAAGGAAATCATATGGTTGATTAAAACCAAAAGATGAGTGGAATAATGATGAATATATATAATGGGTTTTAAGGGAATTGTTGATATGGTTTAGTTTTTGGATTTTTATTGATAAATTTGACTGGTCAAGGTTCTAATTAAGGAGTTAGAAGGATTAGAAATGATTAAGAACATGTTTGAAAATATGGTATGATTTTGAGATTCAAGTGTTCTAGTGAGATTTTGGATTTTTAGGAGTATTAAGTTGAGATATGTTGGTTTTGATGAATGAAGTGAGTTTAAAGGAATAAAGGGAGATAAAAGTAAGAGATTTAGGTAAGTTTTGGTTAATTTTCGAATAACATTGGTAATTTATGGGCAGGGGTATCGGTACTGGAAGAACATTACCGATACTTCAAGGCAAAATTAGTTTGAGTTCGAGGATCAGTATCAATACTGATTGAGGGAGGTACCGATACTGAAAGGGGAATATCGATACCAAGAGTAAGGTATCAATACCATTATCAAGTTTGAAATTACAGAATGCCAAAATGGTATCGGTACCGAATTGGGTATCTATACCATAGAAGGGAAGTATCGATACTGTAGGAGAAGTATTGATACTAGTGTGCTTCAAATGATGAATTAAGTGTTTCTTTCAACTTAAGTTATTATGTTTGGTTATAAGAGATATGAATTGTGATATTCATTTTCGATTGTTCTTGTGTAAACATTGAACAAAGACAAATTTCGAACAATTCATCATTATAAGTTATCGATCAAGATTGATAAATATTTTGCTATAACTTACGCGAGGCAAAGGTGAGTGCAACTCATTTGTTTTATATTAGATTTGAGGGCGGCTTGCTATAAGCCAACCTCAGAGTTTTCGATCGAAAACTTTCTATTTCTTTTATGTTTTTTACAATGTTTTATTCAAGGTATTATACTTAATTTATGTTTGATGTTTATGGGTACATGATTATGAAAATGCGACATGTGAATATGTGCATACGAAATTACTCGATGTGAAAGTGCCTATGTGAACAAGATATACTTTGAATGACGAAATAATGAATAATTATGTGGTTAAAAGCCCAAGGTATATGTATGAGGATTAGAGGTATAGTTGGCATGCTAAGAGTCGAGGGTTCTATGTAGTCCTTCGGTACAAAACTAAGTGTTCTTTCGGGACAAAACTATGTAGTCATTCAGGATAAATATTTGGCACTTCGGTGCAAATTATGTGAGCTATGGTGACAATATTAGTGCACAACCTCAATGTACTCAAATACCTAGAGTTCTCAGTAGTATACATTGGGCATTTTAAAAAAAGTTATTTAAATCTAATAATGTATAAAAGAATACATTCTTGTTATGAAAAGAAATTTGAATTCCTTACGAAATGTCTATATGAAATGAATAAAGATTTCATTTACAAAGTTTTATTTAGCTCGTACTTGCCTCATTAAGTCAACGACTTAGCGTGTGAATGTTTCTGTAACACCCCAACCCGTATCCGACCCGGATACGAGTCCGAAGTGTCACATTGACTTTTCAAACATTTATTCTTATAGAATAGTGAGTAATTTAAAAACTTTGATAACATTTAAATTATTCAAAACGTTTACAAATATATCAGAGTTCATACCATTTATATCTTTAGATTACATGCCAACTCACTCTATAAACAGTACATATATTTTCTGATCTGACATTTGGTAAGGAAAACTGACCTGTCTTGCTCCGCATTACTCTTTACTCTTCTCAAAACCTACGTGTTAAACAATCACACGCTAAGTCGAAGACTTAGTGAGGCATAACAACTTATAATGCACTTCATAACATATATCAATACATGCATGTTCTGTTCTATCATGTTATACCAATTCCATGCATTCTTCGTATCATATAAAATCATATCAAATTAATTACAGTAAATACATACATACACATAATTCATCATTAACAGTTTATCATGTAATCACATACTTTTATGGTTAACCTTTTCAATCAAACACTATACACACACAACATCATATCATTTCTATAACATTTATCATACCACTAACATATATTTGTTCATATCTCTGGATTAGCCCATGTACATATGTGAGAACTATCGATATGTGAGTCTATAGAGGTTGTGCACTAATGCTGTCACCACAGCTCGTATAATTGCACCGAAGTGCCGCGTAGAATTGCACCGTAGTGCCATATAATGATATCCATAAGGACCACATAGAATTCCTCTCAAGAATTCACACATGTTCCACAGAATATATGTATATCCCGAAGGACCGCGTAGAATTGCACCGTAGTGCCATATAATAATGTCCATAAGGACCACATAGAATTCCTTAAGAATCATATACATATGCTAGGGATCATATATGTGTCTTTCAAGACTTCACACATGTTCCAAAGAATATACATATGTCCCGAAGGACCGCGTAGACCCTCGACTCTTGGCATGCCAACTATACCCCTAGCTCTCATGACACATAACATGGGCGTTATCATTTATTTCATTTCAAATATTCACATAAACTTGTAATTCACTTTCACATATCACGTATCACATAGCTTCTTTTCATATTATCACATAGTAACGTAGTTCACTTACACGTAGATCATTTCCATATAATTCACATGTCACATATGTCATGTTTTCATATAATTTCTATCATTTCTCACCCAATCACCTTATTCATGTAAATACTTATCATATCTTGTTCACATAAGATATACTTCATGTAATATATAAAACACCTAGAACACTTCACGTAGCTTATAGTCATAGGTCTTATCTCATAACATATACTGTTTTCACATATATATTTCATATCATTTCTATATACCATCACATAATTCATTTAACATACATAACATATTAGTAACATATAATAGAAATACCTATAAGTCATATCACTTAGAGCACATATATACTTATAGTCACATTGCTTATATCTTAATCTTGCCTTCTCTTAGACATATATATATATATATATATATATTCACATGTTCAGGTAATCCACCATTTCATCACATAATTAGGTATTCATATAACTCATTTCATTTCATATCCATCTATATATATATATATATTCTCAAGATTTATCCTAATATAAATCATATAGCACTCTTATAATTCATATTCATATTCATCTATGTCAGACTTATAAACACATCTCACTTCTATTATTTCTTTATATATATATAATCTGTTTACTTAATTCAATTTCATATAACTCTATAATCTTCTCATATAGCTTCATAAATTTTTATCATACAACCCATGTGTTATAGTTTTATTTAAACATATGAATCTTTCCCATATAGCTTATCTTATATGTTATATTATTATTTATGTTCAAATCTCCAGTTAGTGTATTATTCTCACATCCTATAGATCAATATTATCTAGCTTATTTCACTTCTCATTTAATAATATAATTCTATTTTACTATGATCACATAGTTTATAACTCATATAATTCATAACCTTTCTTATGTAATCACTTATA